TGGGGGGGGGGGGGGGCATGTTCGCGACCGAAACTCTTGACTATCGAAAAAGGACAAACACCGAACAACCAAACACAACGGCGACGACAACACCAAACAGAGGAGTTTATCCGACCAAAAAACGGAATCCGTTCTAGAACTTCAATATGGTACATCAACGCATATGACGATGTGCGTAAAGACGCCAAAAGAAACCGACAAAAAACAGGAGACATGCGCCGACCTGGTTGAATTCCTGCGTTCCGACGAGCAAGTCGAGGGCGTTGTAAATCTCCGGCGTTACCGTTGCCAGCTTGCGCTTCATCTCGGCCTTCTGTGCGATCATCGTGAGCTTCTGCTTCCAAAAGGGGCACACAATTGGCGCCGGGGATTAGGGAATGGATAAGAGTCTTCTTTCGTCGTGCGCGCAAAAGGTATTGCTGTAGCGTAGGGAGAACCTGGGAGAGAAGCTGCGCTGTCTTCGAGGTAAGAACAAAGGAACTAGTACGCGGGGAGAAGACAACAACGACAATAACAACGACACCAACATCGACAACAACAACAAATCTACCAACCTCGAACTTCTTGGACAGCGACACCAGCTGCATCGCGAGCACCACTCCCGGCACGGGCCGGTCCCAGCCGAAGGCCTTCTTGAGCGACCGCGACTTCACGTCCCCCTCCAGGACCCCAAGGCGCAGGCTGCAGAACCACTGCTCCGACTCGGGGCGAGTGTTGCAAGGCGCAGCCACGTCCACGGATTCCTGGCGAGGACTCGCTCCCTGCGCCTGGGGGGGAGGGGTACAACAGACCGAACAACCACACACAGGGGGGGGGGGGGGTATGAACTCCTCGATCGTCAAGCGGAGGAATCGCCCAAGCACAATTAACACCGCTTGGACAATTTGACAAGTTTCGTAATCTGAAAATCCCAACAAAACCCCCTCCTCGCTCAAAAAAGATAGGTCAGTCAGACAACAGGGGGACGAAAATGACAACACCTGAACAAGGGAAGTTCAAACAAAACACCAACGACAACGACAACGACAACAACAACAACAACGCAGAAGAGATTGCGACAACGACGACACAAACAACTACAATAACACCAACAACACAGATGACAACAACAACAACAGCAACAGAAACAATAGCAGCAACGACAGTTCACCTTCCAGGGCAAGAGGTCATTGGGAGCCCGCCCGTGCACCGGCAGCCACGCGATGCTCGTCAGCTCCTCCACGAACTCGTTCGGCGGGGGCGGCCGCTTCGCCGCCGCCGCCGCCACCCTCGTCCTAGCCCTCTCCTTCTTCTCCCTCCTCTTCTCCTTGCGCTCCCTCGCCGCCTTCACCCTGGCCTCCCAGCGGCGGCTTCCCTCCTCGTCCTCCTCCTCGTAATCGCTACCGTCGTCGTCGTCGTCGTAGTCCAACTCCGAGTCGGAGCTCGACATTTCCTCCCGGTACTTCTCTTCGGCAGCGCCGCCGCCGCCGCCGCCGCCGGCCGTTGTTGCCGAGCGCGGGTCCACAAACCAGCGGCCGGACTCGCCCGACGACAGGAGGAGCTGGTCGGCACGGTGGTCCACGAAGTCGAGAAGCTTTCGGCTACGGGTGACGGCGGCCTGCCGCGCCTCAGAAGCGGCATCGACACCACCACCGCCGCCGCCGCCGCCGCCTGCGGCGCCTACGGCGGCGTCTGCGGTAGCCGAAGGCACCACCGGGGAGGCGAACGCCGCCTCGATGGAGCGGGCGGACTGGAGGACGCCCTCGCAGGTCAGGCTGGTTTGCAGGCCGAGCGAGCGCATGCCCGCCAAGGCCTGGTGGTGGATTTCGGGCAAGGGGTGTGGATTAACTCGCGCGTGCGTGCCTGTGCATAATGCGTTATCGTGACGTTTGATGACCTCGAAAACAAAACCCGCGCATGGTACCCCTTGAAATCGAAGATGCGCAGGCGGTTTCCTCCCTGGTTGTATATTGGCATCCCCTCCCCCCTCGCCTACTCCGAGTAACGCGAATGCTACAAAATAAAACGAACGAGAAGAATGAAAAGAGCGAATAAAACAAGAATAAGAACAGAAAATAGGAACGGAAGGAAAATCAACTCACCGCCGGAATGCAGTAGGCCTCAGACATATCTTACAGCGACACAACGCCGAAAAACTCACCGCCGGAATGCACAAGTCCTTAGACGGGAACGCCTCCGGCCCCAACAAACTCCGCAGCTCGTCGACCGCCGGATCAAACAGGTCCGATATTTGTGCCGGTTCGCCTCCGCCGTCGGTTACGACCTGCGACGCCCGCAGCGCGGCTTCGAGGCCCGGGTCTTCGGCGCACAGTTCTTGGAGGTTGGAGAGGACGGTAATGGTGGCTGCTTGGGAGGCACCCAGGAGAGCTAGAACAGGTAGCATGCGAAGGAACAAGCGGCCATGCAAGAGATGGGGGGGTAATATGTCAGACCCAATCACCATCGTCATTCCGATGTACCCTACGTGACGTAAGATAGCACACCCCTGGGATAGGTTTTGAATGCTCGGGTACTCCATCCATGACGAAGAGGACGATTAGACAAAACGATACGTTTTTGGAAGGTTCTCTCGACGACACAGTTCCGACGAGACAGTTACCAACGCCTCAGTTCCGGTTCGGCCACCACTTTGTTCTGCTGTGGAGTTATTTGAGCTTTGAAAATCAGTCCAGGGGGGGGGTGATATACAAGCATACGTCACCCGTGGTAACACGCACAAGACTTGAGAGCCGTCAGCCGTTTATCTCTAGCACCGGGACAAGAAAAGCCGGCATAACTGAAAAACACTTCAGTGTTCCAGGTTAAGTTTAAATCGACTCACAGAAAGCCAGTACCCAGCTGATTTTTCTCCCTCTCACTTCAAATACTTCAACCCATCCTCTTCCACTGTGGTATTATCTCGAGCGGGTGGGTCATTCTGTCACCATAGTATATTTTAAGAATAAAAATCGACATATTTTTCCTTCTTACCAACGAACCATCAAGCGCGAAGGGCGGACAAGAGAAACATCCTCATCCCACCCCAGGCCAGACCGTAAGTTGCACAACACACCACACCCCTTGGACCGACTTTCAAAACCTCATGTTCCACGGCGAAGAGGATGCCGAAATCAAATGATCCTTTTTCGGAAAGATCTCGACGAGACAGTTCCAACGCCGCCATTTCCGCCACCGTCACTGGTTTTGTCCTGCGGAGCGTTCGAGCTTTGAAGATCGATGTCAGGGGGTGTGGTATCTCATGCGACCTACGGTACTCACAACAAGAAAAAAAAGCCGCACAAGGGTTTCCACTCTCATCACCTTCGCCTGTCGAGGACCCGACGGCTCCTACTGTCCCCGGGGTCGCTTTCCGGTCGCCACTTGGCGGATAACCACCTTTCGAGGGTTGTTTCGCGAAAAGGAACAAGACAGACACTGCTGTTGATTCGAGGTGTTGGGATAGAGAGAGAATCGGTCCAGCCGGCGAGAGGTGAAAGCGTCCGAGAGTGCTCAGCCCGCATACCGCTTGTAGAACGCAGGATGCGGGGGAAACTTTTCCCGGACTAACCAGCACAAACCGCTGATTGTTAATTCGTACAGCAGTCGTTCCCCGCTTCTAAGGACAACTATCTTGCCGGACAGCGGCCAGGACCGTCATCTCGGCGAAAGAATCAATCCCCACAACGCCATTGGTGGTCCGTGCTGCTGTTGGTCTCAAACGGGAAGGTGCCTGCCAGGCGCATTGCTCCAAACTAGATCAGCAGCCTTCGCGGGGTTTTTCAATTAAGCAAATATGTTGGATAAAGCATGTAATCGGGGAAGTTGAGTTGAGGGTTAGGGATAAGGTCTGCGCACCCCCTCCCTATTCAATTTCCTCATAAACATAATATATCGCGAAAGCTGTCCAACTACATGTTACCGCAAATCTCCGCTTTCTACTAAACACTCACCGCCGCCGACTTGCCGCGACCCCGCAGCACCAGCCCTGCTCTCCGCGGCCAGTCCGGGCAGCACGTGCTCCCGGAAAAACGCCCCCTTCCCGACACGCTGAACCCCCAAGCTCTCCAGCAACTCCGTGTCCTCGGAGCTCTCGACCGCGAACACCGGGCCCAAGAGCGCCGGGTCCGTTCCCTTCGGGGCAAGCAGGAGCCGATCCGCCGCCCCCGATATCGAGGTAAACCGCTCCGCGCCGGTCTTACTGGCGGCGGTGGCGGCGGCGGCGGCGGCGGCGGCGGCGGCAGGAACAACGCCTCCTCCGCCGTGGACGCGGTAGATCGGGAGGCCCTTGAGCAGCGCCACCTGCCGGTCGGTGAGGCGCTTGTTGCCGCCCCCAGAGAGCCTTATCCTAGCCAGGAACGACCGGAGCGCGTGCCGCTCCGCCGGCGCGACCGACTGGAAACGGCCGTCCACCTTCCTGCGAGCGGCGCCGCCGGGGCCGAAGTCCGGCTCGGAGGAGGCCGCCGACAACTCTGTCGCCTCCGCTGAAATTTCTCGCCCCGTCGAGCCGCCGCCGCCCGGCGGCGGCGGAGAAGGGAATAGCGCCTGCTGGAGAGCGCTGAGGACGCCGGCGGGGCTGCAGGCGTTGGCGTACTTGAGGACGAGCGGGTTCTGGGCCTGGTTGCCGAGCGCGGAGGCGTCGAGGATCCAGACTCCTAGCTGGGAGAGGACCTGCGCAATGGGGTGGAGTGGCCATGTTTGTCTGGCTATGACGACGCCCATTGTTTTCATTCATCTGCAAATCTTTAGCCCTTCGCTTAACAGTCTCTGCTCTTCCCAGTGTCTTCATGTACTTCTCCCCGAAACCGAGACACTAACGGAGAAGATAAAACACTTGACAACAAGGACACTTTTTGTCCAATGCCCCTCTGTAAATTTTTCCAGACAACCAAACACAAAACGGAGAAGAAGGTACTTGAAACGCCTTCCCAATAAGTACACCACCGTTTTTGCGTTTTGCCTTTCTCGTCCCATCTATTGGGGTCGCCAGTCTACACTACGCGAGTTCACCGGCCTTACACAGGGCGACCGGCCTCTCACTCTCCGCTGCCTCATACATAAACCGCTGCTGTAGCAGCAGCAGCAGCAGCAGCAGCAGCAGCAGCAGCAGCGTTTTATACCCTATCACACCTTCCGCATGCTGGTGTTCATCGTGTGGGAGCCGATCCCCTCCGCCATCGGAGACACCACCGGCATGTTCTCGTGCAGCTCCAGCAGGACGCGGATGGTGTCGGCCTTGACCCCGCCCGTCGCCGGCAGCAGCGGCCACGACCGCTCAAAGAGCCGGATCTTCTCCGCCGGGTCTTGCCCGGCCCGACCCCGCCCGCGCCCGTTCCTGGCGCCGACGCCTTCCTTGCAGATGTAGTCCCACAGGCAAGACACCCAGTCCTCGGAGGGCTGCTTGGGGCGCACCTGTTCCGGGTGATTCGACGCGACACCGCCATAAAACGACGATACAACCAGTAAAAACAAAATAAATAAATACGTGGTCGGTTTCCTCCGGCCTGCGTGACCCTGGTTGTTGATGCACCCAGAACAATGTATACAATGGTGGACAAAACTTCTCGCCGAGACTCTTGACAAGCGCACACCAACGCCGTTCTTTAACACCATAACCAGGTTGGACCCGACCCTCGTCGAGGTGGCGCGCGAATATCTCTCCAGCTCTCCCACCACAAAAGGCGGGACACGCCTACTTGTGTTGAAACCCCTTGTCAACCGCTCTGATCCAAGGGGGCACGACGGACACCACAGCCTTCCCGCCCTAAGACCAATCAGCACCAGACACGCCAACTTTTCAAGCACGGGATGCGGCGCTTGGTGATGTGTTAGAATAGGCTGGCCCGGTGAGAACCCGGCGTGCTCCGTCCCGGCCTTATGTAGGGATGCGAGGTCAACGGTCTAACGGCTACGGCTTGCGACACCCCCCCAACTCACGTCTCGGGATCCCGGCGCCCACGCCACCTGCGTCAGCCCCTGCCAGGCCTGCGGGAACACGGCCCCCAGCATCCCGGCCAGGTCCCTGGGCTCCATGACCGCCACGTTGGTGGCCGCGTGCACGCGCTTGTTGTTGAGGATCACCCTCGCCCCGTGGGTCAGGTCCTCCATGCTCTCGAGCAGGCGGTGGCCGGCGCCACCGCCCTCCCCGCCGAGCCCGGGGCCTGCCAGCAGCCTCCGCTCCGCCTGGGAGCACACAAACACCGTGGAGGCGTCGACCACCCTGCCCTCAGCCTCGTCGGTCGAGCCCGCCGGCGGCGCCGCAAACCTGCCGAGCGTGCGGTTCGCGAGCGGTAGCAGCGGGAGGCCCACCAGCTGCCCGAACGTCTCCGCGCCCAGCCCCGACGCCGCTGCTTCCAGCAGGAACAAGGCGTTGGTCCGCGCCTCCTGCCGGGTAGCCGGGGGGCGGAACCGCACCAGCTCCCCCGAGTTCATCACGCCGCCGACCGGGGCCGTTCTCCTCGGCTGGGGGGGGCCGCGGTCGGGGACGCGCGCGACGGTGGTGGTGCCGCCGTCGGAGGATACTGCGGCACCCCCGGCCTCCAGGCCGAGGCAGGCGTGGGAGACGCTGGCGTTGCCGAAGTGGGAGCGCAGAAAGGCCGGCGTGGCGTCCGCGGCGAGGCACTTGTAGTGCAGCATGGTCTTCTTGAGGGAGGCCGGGAGACGGACTACGGGGAGCCTGTCCCACAGGAGGATCTGCGGGAGGGGGGGGGGGGGAGAGAGAGGGGGGGCTAAATAGTGAAAATCCGTGGTTTGGTGCGGGAAGTTATGTTTACGTGGCCGCTCGACAGTGTTATGCGTGCCAGCAGCAAGCGCCGCGAAGACAACAGCAACAGCAGCAACACACAGCGGTAACAACAGCGGCAGCGGCAGCAGCAGCAACCACAACAGGAACACATGGCGGTAGCAACAGCGGGGGCGGCGCACCAACAGCGGCAGCAGCACCACAGAGCGGCAACAACAGCGGCAGCAGCAGCAACAACAGCAGCAACAACAGCAGCAACAACAGCAGCACATGGCACGAACAACAGCGGCAGGCAGCTGCAGCAGCAGCAACAAACAGCAGCAGCACAGAACGGCAACTACACCGTGCCTGCACGTGCCCACATACACGCTCCTCTAGGGCAACGTAATCCCGACGAACAACACTCAACACCAACACCTTGCCGCCACCGCCCGTACCTTGGTGAGACGCTTGGTGTACTCCACCCTCTCCTCCGACCCGCCGCCGCCGTCCTCCTCCACCTCCTCCACCACCACCGCCTGCCCGGGGGGGATCCAGCGACCCTTACCCCCCGTCGCGCTCCGGCTGAAGAGCACCGGAACGTTCTTGAGGTTGGAGTAGGTGGCCGCGACCACGGTATCCCACGGCTTGGGCGTCTCCGCCGCGGGGAGGAGAGCCTGGTGCTGCGGACCGGCTTGCATGACCTGATGCAGGCGACCATCGCCCCGTCCCCCCCCAAAAAAATAAGAAGAAAAAAAAACATACACACACGCGCACAGATGATGGCCTTTAGAAGCATTTTTTGTCATATTTTCATTGGTCGGCCGTTTAAAATGAAATGCGCACAGAAGCACAGCAGTGCGAAGAGAGTAGTACATGGGACAACGGGGATTGCCGTAGGTGGCAAAAGATATCGCACCCCTGGACAGATTATCAGGGCTCAACTACTCAGCGCGAAAAGCATTGACGGTAGCGAAAACGGCAGCGTTGGAACCGTCTTGTCGAAATCTCTCCAAAGACGTGTCATTTGATTTCGGCGTCCTCTTGGTCGTGGAGTAATCGAGCTTCGAAAATCGGTCCGGGGGTGTGGTATCTTATGCAACCTACGGTAGGGGGATGACCGACACGCAAGCACGCCAAAAGCACACGAAAAGCAGCCGCACACAGAAGCACAGCGGTATAAGAGGACAAGGGAATAAGGCGACTAGGGGGATTACAGCAGTGATTGCTCTCGTTTCGGATTCGCATGGTTCTGCGTTGAGCAACAGCGCTATTAATAGCGCAAAGCGCTGTCTTCGTTCCAAAACAATAAATAAAAAACAAACACCTTTGTGTGGCCTTCCTTCCTCCCGTGTTACCCCGGGCCGATGCGTTCAGAAAAATATACACCGAAAGTCGCCAAGACTACCGTAACCTCCATAACAAATGCGACGTTACACACGGACAACGACAAGTATCCGCGTCCTTTCACCCCTTAACATGAGGACAGGTATTCCTTCATTTGTGTGTGTTTCGTAACATTTGACGCCGGCTCTCACGTCTCGTGCCCTGGCCACAAGGGCGGCGTAGATCGGCGCGATGACGTCACGGAGGAGAAGGTTGTTCCACTCGGAGCGGCGCTTTCCTTCTCCCTGCATGTCCTCTCCGAACCAGATGTCCCTCCTAGAAAAAAAGAAACAAAAGAGAAGTGAGTTTTGTTTTTCTAACCGCAAGTCTAGTTTCCTTCATCTTCAGATCTTCGGTCGATACGGCATAGAACCAAAAAAACATGGGGTATATGTGTTTTTTAGTTAATTTTACGGTTGGTTGTGGGCATGGAAGACGGTTTAGGTGGAAGTAGAAGCAAGAGTACTACTTTTACCGTCCGTTCATCTCCGGATCTTCGGTCGAAACGATATAGACCTACAAAATATGGGGGGGGGGGGGGGGGGGGGGGGGGGG